AAATTAAAATAAAAAATGAAAAAAATAAATCAAGTAGAACAACCCCCCCCCCCCCTCAAATCCTCCTGAAGGATTTTTGGGGGGCTCCCAAAAACCCCAGGCTGCAAAGAGCAGCTGTTCCCTGTGGATATGCACAGCTAATCCCACACGGACGCAGGGCTGGGAGGTGTTTTTCCTGCCTGCAGCAGGGGTTTTTGGTGACTCCCTGGCTCAGGAAGTATTTTTCCTGTTGCCCGCAGTGAACCTGGGGAAGGAAAACAATTCCCAGTTTGGTGCCTGCGGGAGATGGTTTGTTTTGTGAGGATGAAGAGGGGAAGGAACAAAAAAAACCCACCCAGGACACAGGAGACACAAAGTGGGGGCCAGTACCCAAAAATAAGTGCCAAAATCCATCTTGCCAACGACAAGAGCTCAGAAACCACACCAGACCCTCGTGTTTGAAAAACACCCTTTAATCCCTCCATCCCACAGCATTCCCAGCACCACCCCTCACAGCCAAGGAGATGCAGTTAGCCAGGTTTTTCCTATGATTTTTCCACAAAAAAAACCCCCAAAAACCAACCCCCCAAGGACAGAAGAGGGAAAACCAATGGCAGGTGACTGGAATAACAAGTTTTCTCCAGCAACTTAAAGGCACTTTCAGCACAGGAATTCCACTCCAGCCTCACCCTGGGGCTGGATGATGCCAGGGGGGGCTGTGGGGCTTTCTTGCTTTTTTCCTCTCTTTTTTTTTATCTTCAAGCTGAGAGCCAATTTTTTTTTTTTTTTTTTTTATTATTTGGGGCTTTTTCCTGCGTTAAAATCAACAGCAGGAACCTCCTCCCCCACAACCAAAGAGCTGCTTCAGAGGTCCCCTGGGGATGGTTTTGGGTTCAGACACTGCAAATGAGGTGGCTTAGAGTGAAAATATATAAAAATATATATATAAATACATATAAATAAATATAAATATATATAATATAATATATAAATATATATTTATATATTTATATATAAATGTATAAATCCAGCAGATCTCCCCATGTGCAGGGAAAAGCATTGAGCCACCCACAACTACAAGGGAAACCTACACCCCCAATATATATATATATATATATATTTTTCCTACTTAGATGTAAAAATAAGGAAAATAGGGGCTGCAGGTGAGGGCTCCCAGCTTAACCACCCCAACATTTTTCCCTGCTCAGGGGACACTGCCCAGCAGGAAAATGGGACATGGGGGCTGTGGGACAAGGACTGGAAACCCTCAGGAAAGGGAAAAACAACCCTGAATTGAACCAAACCCCT